ATGCACGATAAAATTTGGGATCCAAAAGTTCATATTTACTCAAGCCTTGAAGTGCGCCACAAATGAGAGCAGCGTAGAATCGGCAGGCATCAGCGGCTCGAGGATCACCATGTGTGAGAACCGCATTTTCGCCGGCGTAGTTAATAGCAGCTTTTTCTGATCGAAAGAAAAAGAGAGGTATTGATGCCATACGCATGAGAGGTCCGTTGCCGGCAGAATCTTCTGATCCGAAATTCAGCTTGAAATTAACGCTAACACAGTCACGTTGACTTATCATTGTATCGCGATCTCGTTCCGATTTGAGCGTTCTTGGTTTCAACTGGCAAAAACGTTCTGCAAAGTTCAATTGACGCTTCTCAAAGTCGATAACAGCTAGACGTGTCGCTTGGCCGATATCAAAGCACTTTCCTATAGATGACATATATCCATCCTTATACCACCATTTGTATCGCACTAGTTGATCGTAAGCATCGAAGCCCTGTTTAACTATAAGACTGGCGGCAAGGCAGAGAGCCATCGATGTGTCGTCTGTCCATTGGCCAGCCTGTAGGCCCCAGGTACCCCCACTCTGCATGTCTGTTACGGGATGTTCTTGTAAGTATGTGTGAGGACGAAACTCGACTGATGCTCCGAGAGCATCACCCACAGCGAGACCGACAAGAGAACCTTGAATTCTTGAAAGTAACCCCTGGTCAGCGCCTACGGTCGGTTGGGGAAGACTTTGCCAGTTAGTGTTATAAGGCTGTGGTTCGTTCAATAGGTCGGTTATCTGCAGTGTTTTACTGGTGCGTCGCGACGTATTTGATGCTGCTGTGGCCATGATCAATCTTGAAAATGAACGACGAAAACAAACAGCAACAAAACGAACAAGCTCAATCATATGATGTACCTAGCTTCAGAGTAGGTATGCACTAGTTTATGCACCAGTTTGCTCATAGCTGCGGAAGTTCTTATTTTGCAGAAAAATGTTTGCTCTACCAAATGTATTTATTAAAAAAATTTCAAAGCTATTTTTAACAAAAGTTAGAACATTAGAAAATGCACCAAACCACGAAAAAAAGCTGTTTGATCACGTTTTCTGTCGTGATGTATTTAATGTATCTTTGAATGCTCTAACTTTTGTTAAAAATACCTTTGAGATTTTTTTACAAATGTATTTGATAGAGCAAACATTTTTCTGGAAAGCGAGACCTTCCGCGGCTATGAGCGAATCTTGATAACTGATGTATAGTAATTTTCCTGGGTCTCCAAACACCAGTTAAAAACTGGTGCATGCCTACTTCGGATGCGCATGTTTTCTTCTCTTTCTTCCTTTTGTCCTTGTCCTTTTTCACTTAGGCAATCAGCGAAACTTTTGCTGGAGGAGTGGTAGCGAAGCAATTTCGTAAAGGGAAAAGAAAAGATTCGTAGGTATGACAAAACTTAGTTACTCAGAGCCAGTTTGAGTAACTGACCGCCAACGACACTTCAAACCATGTCGTAGAGGATATTGGTGTTGTATTTATTGAGCTTCACTGGTGACAGTTAAAGTAGAACAGCGTGGTTCGATTCAGACCGTATGTTTGTCGACACGAAATAAACACTGAAAGAGATAAAATTGACATTGACTGATAAGTTAAGAAAAAGAAGACATCTAGATACATCTGAACGACTCCCTCCCTTACTGATGATTAAACGCCGGATAACAACTAGAAAGACGATCAATGACAGCAAATGACAAAGGGAGAAAAAAGTTCAACTTCTCATCTTGCTTTCGTACCATCGTCATCATAGACGAGCGGACAGAAACGTTGTCATCTGATACTGCTCAAGATCGATCCCGTGAATGTTGTCGAAAGCTGCAACATCATCTCCAGCAGTCATTTGAATTATCTTTTTGTCAAACACATTCTCACTTGTTGCGATACATTGACCATATTCGTCCGGATTGACGTCAAACCGTGATCCTCGAACGCTATTGAGTTTGGGGGATAGTGACCTCGTTTTAAGATTTAACAGACTCAGTACATAGTGCACTATTTTAATATATATCCTAATATTTTGACGCTAGGTGAATAGTCCTGGCTGGACCTATGACCAATACAACTAAGAATTTTCGCAAAAAAGTTTCATTCTTCCTCATACTTTTTTTAATTATTCACGTAAAGAGAGAGAAAGAGAAGTCTGTTTGCATGAGATTGTAGAGAAAATTATACGCTTTCAATCGTATATATACATATTTGCCAGCTTTGTTTTCTTCAACAGGTTAAAGCTGTTTTCTGTTGGCCATTAAAGACTTGACAGTGATGGAGGACAATGACGAAACCGAACATGGCGCTACAATCACTTTATATTTTTTGTGAGTAGAACTCGAAGCGGAGAACATATTTTTGTTTCTTGTCAGTCGCTTTTATGCACCGAAGGGGAAAATAGCAGAGTGCACGCTATTTAAAGACGTTTCGTCTTTCGCGGCTGTCCCTGACGAGTGTCGGAGCTCGAAGTTAAGAATAGCTAGATGGGATGAATAAAAAATGTGCAATAAACCTTGTTGCTTCCTTCACAGAATCTCATAAACGTTCCATTCTCTCCTCGCGTAAACTTTTTAATATCCAACAACAAACGGCTTCTGCCTTTTCAAAGGAAATAAAACTAGCAAATGTAGTCCGAACTATGTATAGTACACTTTCCAAAATTTTACTAAATTTAAGGCCCCCCCCCCCGCCCCTCTTTTTTTACTTTGTTGCAAAACGCGGAGCACACGTCTGATCGAGCTCAGTCTTATAGCAGATATAGAACATCGAAAAAGAAAATTGATGTATTTTTGCCCAGAATTTTCTGAGATGTTCTTATATGGGTTTTCTGAAAAACTCCAGTTTTCATCCAGTCACATCACGATCCTTCGAAAAACCGGTCCGATCGAGCTCAAATTTTTACCACAGATACTTTAGACTTTATCTCAGCAGTAAAATTTTTGGAGAGTTGGCAGTGGTCTTATTTTATAGCCCGGACTTTCTTCTACACTGGGCTGCGTTCAGCTCAAAATGAGAAGTTTTTGCAAAAAAGAGGGGATACCCTTAAGTTAATACGATTGAAAGCGGTCAGACTGCTAAAATATGCTGCCCACAAGAGATTATTCAGCTTCAAATGATATGATACAGATAAATACAAATTTCTCTACAATCTCATGTAAAGAGAGTCGACTTTCTTCCTCTCTTTAAGTAAAAATTTAATAAAGTACGAGGAAGACCAAAGATGAAAAATCGTAGTTTCATTGGACATAAGTCGGACCAGAACTATTTAGCTAGCGTAAAAGTTTCAGGATATATATATAAAACTGCTTCTGGATCCGTTAAATCTAAAAACGAGGGGTCACGACTTCCTCCTCCTCAAAACTCCTCAACCAGGCGTGACAACCACAGCGGCTTTCGAGTGTTTCATCGTCATTCATTATCTATCACTGTACTGTTCATTGCATGAGGAGGATGGTCATGCTCTCGTTCACCGTCATTATATTGTTGATCACTGGGCATGGCACGTTACTATTAGTTACTCGGTAACTTTACTATTATGCGTTTTTAAAAACGGTGTGTGGGCGCGATACTTCTAACTTTTTAACCGTGATAGCTGGCGACCTGCAGTTTTCAGATTCTGAAACTAGACACTTGGGGACGTAAATCGACGAGAAAATCAGGACTCCCAATCAGCTTTACCATGGTTTATCATTCGAGACAAAATCCGAAAGCTTACTGTTTCCAAACCACACTATGAAATCCAATCTCAAATAATACCAGTCAATAGTCAAAACATTTACTTCTTTACTAGTAACGAGTAACTACTTCGTTACTTAGTCACTAGTAGCGAAGTAACGAAATGTGTTACTCGTTACTACTATCCATTTCAATGATCAATGAACTCGGTTGTAAGTTGGATAACTCTGGATAAGAAGCAGCTAAATACCTGCGGTTTTCAACATTCGAAAGAGAATAATACTTTTTATATAGAAATGGCGAAAGCTGATTGGTCAACAATTGGCCAATCAGGTGAGTTGAGTCGCTTGACATATTGGGCACCATTCGATAGAGAAAATTGTTCTCTATTTATATACACAAGGCTCAGCTTGTGCTGTTCAGGAACTATAAGTATTTTTCTGAGAGCCTCGATTTCGGCCAGCTGACCTTGGATCACTCCAAAATACCTCGGAATATAGGTAATGGGCCATGGTTGTATTAGAATTTCAAATCCAACGGTTTCGCATCCAACTTTTCGCTAGGCAGTGCCTAATATGTATCATGCGAAAACTCACCTGATTGGTCAACTGTTGACCAATCAACTTTCGCCATTTCTATATAAAAAATATTATTCTCTTTCGAATGTTGAAAACCGCAGATCTGTAGCTGCTTCTTATCCGGAGTTATTCGACTTACAAAACGTACCATTAAAGGTAACGTGCCACCCTTGTTGATCACTAGGCAAAATACGTTCGATAGTTTGGACAACTTTCGACAATTTTCGAAATCGTTGTTTGATTCTCACCTTCAACTTCCCAAAAATGCTGACGCTGGTAGTTGGCCAAAAAAACTCTCCAGTCTCTAGCATGTGATAGTATGTTTTAATTGTAATTTCACACTTCTGTCGCATTCCTACGAGTATGGTCGTAACATGGCGAATAAATATATTTTCTTAAATATTTTAAAAATATTTTACGCTGAAACCTAGGGTTATGACTTTCCGGAAATCCCCTAAAATGCTTCCTTGAGTTTTGGCAGAAGTTTCAAGACTATGATTTTGCGTCATGCTCACTGTTTGGTCTTTTTCTACTCCATTGTTCAACCGATTATTTCGAGTGGCATATCACTCGATGGAACGACATAAACTGAACAAAACCGAATGTTTTGATGTTCTGATAAAGCATATCTTCGTATCCAAAATGAAGCAAAATGGAAAATTTATTCAGATTGACGCAGGGTAACTACGTTTTGTCATACCTTCGAGTCATTCTTTCCGTTACCCAGCTGGTTCTTTGCCACTCTTTAAACAAAAGATTCGTTCATGGAGACATGTAGACAAGAAATCGACGACACAGAATTTATTGTGCAGTAGACAAGGAATCACCCGAAGTAAGTTACATCGTATGATTGAGACAGTTCGTTTTGGTGCCCTTTGCTTTCTATTTTGTTACTCAAGTAACGCTGAGTTTTATGTGTTGTGCATTTGTATGAAAGAAAAGAACGATGTGTTATTTTAACGGAGTTCGAATTGATGAAAGAACAGGACGAAAAAGTAACTAGGATGAGAACAAGGATGCAGTTAATGGTAGTAGCGACACAAAAAAGGGTTTATGAAACAACAAAAAGAATTGTGAAGGCAACAATGAAGCAAATAAATAAAAATTATGTGTAATACGCAGTCAAAACAAGCATGGGAAGACGGATTTTTTCAATTAAGATTTAAAAATTTTTACTACAACCGAGGATATTCCAGGGGGGAAACAGCTGATTTCTGAGCTTAAAAAATCGTTTAAAATAGAAAATCGTAAAAAATCATTAAAAATCGGTTAAAATCTCAAGAAATTCTTAGAAATCTCTAAAAATGGCTCATGATTTTATCTTTTTTCTTTACTTTCACCATGTCTAATTACTATTTTGTACAAATAAAGAAGGTTCCGCACCATTTATCGCAGTCTTTTGACTTGATTTTCCAAACAAATCACAGGAAATCGAAAAAAATCGACGAAAATCAGTCGAAATTGACGGAAATCGGACAAATCTCAAAATCAGCTGTTTCCTGCTTGGAATATTCTCACTCTGCTCATTTTGTGCAACTAAAAATTCTCTACAAAGC